TATCTTCAGAATACTTCAGATTTCAAAGATGCCATTATTTCTGAAGAATGCCAAAGCTTTCCCCTCTATAACCTGCTTTACACAGATGTGCCCTGAAATTATTTTTTTCTGAATGTGAATATTAAAAACGTAGAAGTAATTCTTCTCATTGCTCTTCACCACTATTTTAAAAAATGTTTTCACTGCTCAGTTGGAGACTTCAATGTTCAGTCACAGCTTTAACTCCTATGAATTAGCCCTGGGACCAGTTGTCATTTTCACAACACAGTCTGCACTTCAAGAATTCTCACATCTCTAGATGTTAAGAGATTCCATCTGCCACATCCGGGTATCTAAAGAATTATTAAATTATAGGAAATAGTCCAGTTAAGAACCTAGAAGTTGTGTATGTGATTAGGAAGCTACAGTAAGTATGATTAGAAACCTGTCACTGTGACCAGCCATGCCATTGTTGACTTCTCCAAACTTTACACTTGTCTTCTACACCCATCAGATTTTCTCCCTTGATTTGCTAACTCAGTCTCTGCTTAAATCTTTCTGCTGTTGTCTTACTGTGCAATTCTGATTTATAATCCTTTCTGGTTTTGCTCAGCTAGAGAAAGGATAGTTGGTTGGTACCACACAGGCCCTAAACTGCACAAGAACGACATCGCCATCAACGAACTGATGAAAAGATACTGTCCTAACTCTGTAAGTGTGGCACTTCCTCATTTTGGGGGGCTTTTTTTCCACCTCTGTCTTCCTAAATAGGGAGTCTGGGAACCCTTGGCTCCTACTTTTGTTACTGGTAATAAAGAATGTAAAAGACCTGGCAGCTGTAAAGTGATCGAGGAGCTCGGATCAGTCTTTTGAAATAGCTGCAGATGTCTTGTTCACAGTGCCTGAGGGAACACCCCTGAGCACCCAGCATGCTGTTGCTGTGGAGGGAAGAGCTGACTTAGGTATTTTCTTCTAGTCCTTGAATGAAACAGTTTTCTGAAATGTTTGCTTTTTCCCTGAGGTGTTGGTGATTATTGATGTGAAGCCAAAAGACCTGGGGCTGCCCACAGAAGCTTATATTTCAGTTGAAGAAGTTCATGATGTGAGTATTTAGCATGTCTCTACCTTTTCCTAGGAAAAGAGTTTCCATTAAAAGATGGCTGTGAAGTTTGTCTTCTTTCTGCAAGATGCACACCCCATGGCACGTAGGTGCCTGTTACACATGGGATGCCGTGTTCACTGGTGAGGGCCCTGACTTGCAGACAAAATCTGCTGAAACCAGAGTTTAAATCCCAGTCATAATATAAGCCTTTGTAACTAAAGCTTTCATCCTCCAATGCTCTTGGAAGAAGAGCTTTGCATTTGTCTTTGACCTCAGGAATTCCACATCTCTGGCTGTCTGATTTAGATGTTTCTTACCTGTTTCTGTCGTGGCTGTGGCCATGAGGAAAGTCACAAACTGGAGCATCTTTAAAGGTGTTGCTTTCACATGTCCTGTTTGCCCAGGTGTTCTGAGGAACCGTGAGCTCAATCATTTGTGCACCAGCCAGTGCTGAGTGGGTAGGTCAGGCATGAGCAACAATTACTAATCTCTTGTAGTGCTGTGCAGACAACACACAGGAGTCAGTCAGCCTTAGCTTCTCATTTGCAATTGTTTGATTTGAATTACATTCTGGATGTATGGAAAAAACATTTTTGCCTTTCTGAGGCTCTCACTATGGAGAAAAAACTGCTCCCAGCATCGTAAAACCTTTCCTCTCTGATTCCTTGTGGACTGTACATAACTGTACAGCAGCTGCCCTGGCCTGTGGACTGTGCCTGGTCCCGCAGCCAGCAGGAACTCAGCCTGATGTGTCTCTCTGTCCTTGTCCCTCCAAGGATGGCACTCCCACCTCCAAGACGTTTGAGCACGTGACAAGCGAGATTGGAGCAGAGGAGGCTGAGGAAGTTGGTGTTGAACACTTGCTACGGTAAGGATCCAGAACTGGTAAGTGTCCCTGGGAGACTGGCAGGGCAGTGACCACGATCCAGTGGCACCTCCCAGTGCCAGCTTCCCAGAGGAAGGGCAGATCTTGTTAAACATGCCATTCCTGAGAGTGTGTCCATTCAGCTTGCTTGGTGCACTCCCTCATGGCTAGTTGGACGAGTGCTGCCTCCTGACACTGCACCAAGGAGGACGACTCTGTGTCCATTCTAGCAGAGCTGCAGCACCTTGTAGCTCCACTGGGAACAGTCTCCAGCTGCTGTGTACCCCCCCACCCCGAGCAGGGCAGGGTGGGAGTGCTGCTGGTGGGGCTGCAGTGCTCCAGGCATAGAGAGAGAACAGCCACCCTACACAAACCACAGTGCCTTTTTTCCAGTCAGAAATCCTAGTGGTTATTTCTCTCTACCCCTCTAGCAGCTGTTACAGATATTCCAAAGAGAATGTGAGCACCACAGGACACAAGGGTCTGTTTCAGATTTAGGTCTATTTACATTTATTATTTAGGTAATGCACCTCAGATCGTTCTCACTCTTTCACTTGAAGCATTGGGCTCATTGGCACTTCAGCTGTGCTGCAAACTGCCTTCCTCTCTGAGCTGGAAAGACTCAGTGAGTGTGCCCACCTGTTAAGGAACATGCTGAATAACCAGTTCTAATGCTGATTCTTTTGGTTGTGGGTGTTTCAGGGATATCAAGGATACCACAGTGGGCACTCTGTCCCAGCGGATCACAAATCAGGTCCATGGCTTGAAGGGACTGAACTCCAAGCTTCTGGACATCAGGAGCTACCTAGAGAAAGTGGCCATGGGCAAACTCCCTATCAATCACCAGATCATCTACCACCTTCAGGATGTCTTCAACCTGCTACCAGATGTCAACCTGCAAGAGTTTGTCAAGGCCTTTTATCTGAAGACCAATGACCAGATGGTGGTAGTTTATCTGGCTTCTCTCATCCGTTCTGTGGTTGCCCTGCACAACCTCATTAACAACAAGATTGCCAACAGGGATGCAGAGAAGAAAGAAGGACAGGAAAAAGAAGAAAGTAAAAAGGAGAGAAAAGATGAGAAGGAAAAAGACAAGGAGAAGAGTGATGTTAAGAAAGAAGAGAAAAAGGAGAAAAAGTAAAATGTGTAGGTTTTTTATTTGTAAATTAAAAATCTTGTAAACTAAATCATTTGGATACTGGGTTCTTTTTTTGAGATGGTCAGTGCTCTGCTTTCCTCTACTTTGCTGTCTGCTCTTTGTGTTCATTAGACATGACTGGAATAATTCTCCTCAGGCTGGCAGCTGTCACAGCAAGCAGAGAGCTGCTGGAGGGCAGGCCTGGGGGCTTGGGGCTCAGCTCTGGGCAAGAAAGGGGCAAAAACCCAGGGGGAAGTTTTGTATTTTGTTCCCCCTGTTGCTCCTTCAAGGACTTAAGGCCAACAGCTGAGGATTTCTACCATGTACTGTGTTAGACTTTGTGCTATGTACTTATCTTACCGGTGACTGTGAGTTCTCACTGTGAGATCTGTTTTATTAACATAAATTCATTCTGAGCTGAGGAGGAGGTGCTGGCGCCAGCTGTGCCAGGCTTGGCAGGGCCTTCCCACAGCTCCAACCAAGTACACACTATTAAAAAAAAGCCCAAACCCACACAAAGAACCAACCAGCCAAGGCAGCTGCTGAAAAGCCAAGTCATGGCAAACCAACTGGCTGCAGGCTGTCCCCTGCTGGGATGAATAGAGGGTTTGTTTAGTTCTGCTGGGGTTGGATATTTTGCTGAACACCACCAGCCTATGGCCATCGGCCTCGTTCACCTGATCCTGTTGCACCAATGCCACTCTGGGTCTCACAGGGTGGCACAGGAAGGCTGCTCCAGCACTGGCAAAGTGTCCTAGAGACATTTTTAGCCAAGTATGATTATAGGTTGGGTAATGGCAGGCAGCAGCACTGCTCTCAGCCTGAGCCTCCTGCCGTGTGGGCATGGAAAACAGAGTATTTATGACCCTGCTGACAAGCTGTGGACACCCATCACAGCCCCTCAGCTGAGTCCCCCCAGACACCCCTGGGGCTGCACTGGGCTGTCCTGTGCAACACACTAACCAGGGACACACACCTCGGCAGCTGCTTGTCCTTTATTGCACAAGAAGTCAGCATCGCTGAGGCAGGATGGAGCAGTACAAAACTACCCAGTTACCAGTCAAAAGCTGTTGCGACGTCCTGTACCCACAGGCTCCCCATTATGTACAGCTATGAACAGCAATGTGCGGGGCCCAGCCCCCCACACACCTGGGGCAGCAGCAGCAGGGGGGGGATCCAGGCTAGGGGCGATGGCCTGGAAATCCTCACCCACAGCTCCAGGAGCTCCTGCCTCCAGCCCAGCTGGTGACAGAGGAAACACAGGGAGTTCAGGCCAAACCCGCCAACAAAGCAAAGGCCAGAGGTGCCCTGAGGCTGCGGAGCACCAGCTCCCAGCAACACCAGGAAATACAACAGCACAGGGGACAGGCGCTTGCAAATCAAAACACACAAGGGGCACAGCCGGCCAGGCCCTGTGTCAGGGGACACCCCGGCCCTTGTGCTGTGCACCAGCCCCACCAGCACCCACTGGGCGTTCCCCATAGCCTTTGCTGGGTGCAGGATAGGGCCCAAAGGGGCCTCAAAGTCAGTTCCAGAGCCATTGCCACTCCTCACCTGCATTTATTAAAATGCCACGAAAAGGCAGAAAAGACTAGGGGGAAAAATAGCCTGTGCCGAAATAAGAAAGATAAACGACATTTCCTTTCATACTTTCCCTTAGGCCACTTGAACTGCATCTGCGAGGGGGAGGGGGGCCCGGGCCCAGCCCGCCCCTGCGAGCACAGCCCGGCCCCGCACCCACCGCCCCTCCCGGTGCCCGAGCAGGGAAACGCGGCCCCCGGGCTGCGTTAGTGCGGATCTCGCACGGGAACAAGAGCAAGAGCTGCCGGCGGCACCTTCCCGGAGGGCTCGGCGGGCAGGACCTCACGGCGGGATCCCGGGGCCCTCCCAGCCCTGGGGAAAGCACCAAAGCTCCATCACTCCTGTCCAAATCCTTCCGTCTCCTCAATGGCATAAAGCAGCTTCTCCTTCAGCTGTTCGTAGCTCTTGTAGGGAGGGAGATCCAGACGGTTAAAGCTGGAGAGACAGCAGAGGCTGGGAACAGCACTGACATCCCAGTCCTGCTCCCACAGCAGGGTCCCCTCCGGCCTCAGCCATGCACAGCAAATACACAGCCAGAGCTGCAGGTCTATCCCATGGGAACGTGGGTGGAGGGGACAGAAGGCACCCAGGCCCCATGCAGCCCCACAGAGACTGGCAGTGGTTGTCCTTGTGTGCTCCTAAAAGGACCAAAGAGAAATGACTTACCATGTATGGCTCCGAGGCAGCCACGTCTCTTTGCCAACTTTATCGATGCAGAATTTCTGGGGCCCGTTGCTGCCTGTTGATGAAGAGCACATGAAATCTCATTACATGACCAGGAGGTGAAAAAGAAAACCCTCTGACATGCTGTTAGCCAGGAGATCACACCCCCCTACGATCCTCAAGACGTAGGGAGTATAAATCCATAGAGCACTGTTCTGTTCTGAGCCCTTGGCACAGAGGATGGCCCAAAAACAAGAAAGGAGAATGCTGAGAAGCACATTCACAGCACAGAGAACAGTGTGGCTCCTAAGCAGGGTGGTTAAATGGCAAGTGCTAAAATGTGTTATCTGTAGACCCACAGGATTGAGTGGGCCCATCTGAGAGTTATAAAGGACCTGGCTTAGGAAGTCTGGGTCACGGAGGTCACTTTTTAACAAATTGTGAATGCTAGAGAGGTTCCAGGGGGCTGGAAAAAAGCTAATGGGGTCCAGAGAAGGGACACAAGGATGATCAGAGTAGTGGAGAACTTGCTGTATGAGAAGAGGCTGAGAAAACTGGGTTTGTTCAGCCCTGAGAAAAGGAGGCTTCAAGGAGGCCTTATTACAACGTTCCAGTACTTAAAGGGTGGCTACCAAGAAGATGAAGACTCCCTATTTACAAGGAGTCACATGGAAAAGACAAGGGATAATGGGCACAAGTTGGTCCTGGGAAGATTCCAATTGGACACTAGAAGTACATTTTTCACCATGAGGACAATCAAACATTGGAACAGTCTCCCAAGGGAAGTGGTAGATTCCCCCACACTGGACAATTTTAAGTCTCAGCCTGACAGGGTGCTGAGCCATCTCATATAAACAATAGTAGTACCTCGAAAGGTTGGACCAGATTATCCTTGAGGTCCCTTCCAACCCAGCATTCCATGATTCTACAATTCTATAATATGCCAGCCGAGTGGTCTAAGTTAGCTGGTTGGCTTGATGCTGGTTCCAGGAAAGTAAGGGAAAGGGTGGTACAGGCCCCAAAAAGTAGCAAATTAAAGGATAAGAGCAGAATAATGCCATACTGTGGTTTTATGGAAAAGGGTTTCATCACACAAAAATCAAAGTTAAATCAAAAGTCAAATCTCATTCTAAATGAGATTACAAGCTGCAATGACAAAATTAACTGTGGCAGCACAGTTCAGGGCTAAGGAATGTCTGGGTAAGGCAACGCCACTGGATTAGATTAATCACTGTGCTCAGACCTCACAGCTGCTTCCCCACTGATGTGCTGTGGGCAGCCCTGTGCTCTGCAATGGAGACAGGGACAGGCAGGTCCCACCCACCAGCCCCCACACAGCCACTGCCCCTGCTCCCCTCCCCAGGACCCCCCAGCCGAGCCCAGGGCCCAGGAACACACACCGATGAGCTCAGCGAAGCCCCCAACGGGCAGGCGACAGGTCCCCGTCACAAACTGCAACAGCCGGATCCTCTTCTCGTTGTCCATCTCTTTAACCACCTACATGAACACATGGCCCAGCCCTCACCTCCAGCCCCGCATCCTTGGGGGCAAAAGTATCACAAGAACAAGCTCTGCCCAGCCTTACCCTCCTCCAGAGCCATTTTTGCCCCCCTTCTCTCTCCTGGCCAGCACCGCTGGAGCTGTCACAGCTCTGTGACATGTCATCCCCTCCTGGTGTCCTGCCCAAGAGCAGCAGCTATTGCTAGAAACGTGCTGAGCACTAAGTGCTGCCAGCTGTGCTCAGCACCAGGGCCTCTGCCAGCCACAGCCAAATGCTTCTGGCTGAACACGTGCTTGTGGTTGCATTTCATTCTTCCTGACAACCCAAGAGGCTGCCTGCCTCCTCCCAGCCCCTGCATGCCCCCCAGCCCAGCCTGCCCCCCCAGCCCCAGGCAGGGGATGGTCCCACTGTGGAGAAGGTCAGAGAACTGACCTGCCAGAACCACTGGATCTGTTTGCTGTTCTTGGTGTAGTGCCTGTAGATGGTGTTCTTCTGCCAGTCGTTCATGTCGATCTCCTGCATGCCGCACAGCATCAGCTGGAGACAGGGGACAGTCAGGGGGGGACAGAAACATGGCCCGGCACCCACACTTTGGAACACTGGCTCCTCTGGCGCCAGGCTGCACAAGGCACAGGCTCCAGCACTAGGCAATGGAGGTGTCTGGAAGGAATTCCAGAATTCCTTGCCTCCAACAAGATGTTTTCTTACTAATGGACCTAGTGAGCCACCCCACAGACCAATCACTTGGGACAATGGTACCCCCATCAACACAGTTGAGGGACAGAGGGAGTGAGTGGAGCCTGTGCTGTCACCCAGCAGGGTGGGAAGCACCAGTACCTCCGTGTCCCCATCCCAGCACAGGCGCCTGCTCACCTCTAGCTCCTTCTCATCGAAGTACCGCAGCCACTCCAGGGGCACCACTTCGTTGAAGCCGTCCAGGAAAGCCTTGGTCTGCTCCTCCACACCCCGTGTGAACCTCCAGTCTGTCAGCAGCCTGGGAAGGGGATGGTGTCAGCAGGCAGCCAGTGCTGCTGGCCCAGAACAGGGACTCCCACTATCCCTTCACTGCTGGGGAGGGCCTGAGGAGCAGGGGTGCATGGTGAGGGGAAGAGGGGCTTCTGCACATCTCCAGGGCTCCCCTCAATTCCCACTAGCAGGTTTCTCTCTCTGCCTCCCAACCTATGAAGCTCAGACACCCTGGGCACAGACCAGCAGCCTCCAGGGTCTCAAGGGGTGCAAACCATGGACCCTGGCCAGAGCCTACAGCCCAGGCAGCCCCCAGCCAGCCCAGCAGTGGACAGGCATGGTGAGCAGCCTCAGGACAGGGAGAGAAGTCTTACCCTTGCTCCCCTCTCCTCTTTCCTGAAAGTACTGGCAACTGCCCAGGCAGCAGCAAGCCAGACCGCAGCTCAGCCGACCGCGCCAGCCCAGACTTGTCACAGGCCACGTAGCCCAGGGAAGAGGCCACGTCCCAGGCCCTGTGTTCCCACCCCAGAACTGTCCCGGGGTAGGCACCCAGCAGGGGCCTTGGGACAGCCACTCACATGATGTATTCCTCCTTGTTCTCCTCTGTCACCCGGATGCTCTCACCACCCTCCTTCAGCTCATGGGTGGTCACCTTGCCCAGGATCTCCATGTCCTGAATAAAATACAGCTCCAGGCCACACTCTTCCAGGCTGTTCTCCCTGTGGGAGGACACTGGGATGGGATTTCCGATGGAGGCACCAGGCAGCAGCAAGGGCCCATGGGAAGAAGCACTGACTCCACAGCAGGATGGGCCCCAGGTCAGAAGGGAGAATGGGGCACTCACTTGGTCCAGACAATGGAGTTGTAAAACTCAGGGTCGATGGATTCCAGGTCCTTCAGCGTGGGCCGCTTGTTCAGCATCCGCTTGTAGAAGGGCAGCGTGAAGCCAGTATCGATGAACTTCCCGTGATAGAGAGCCTGTAGGGGGAGGTGACACTGGGTCATGGGGGACGCCAGGACAGACCAGTAGGGCGTGATGGTGCTCCACCACTGGGGCAGCCATGGGGCAAAAGGGAATCACTCTGGGGTCCCAGAGCTGCAGCACTCACTCCTGGCTGGCAAACATGGCAGGGAGGAGGAGTGGGGTCCCCGACAGCGCTGCCTTGGGTGGGTGTGCTCACTGCCCCTCTCCCCTCCCCACCACAAATTCCACCACGTCTCCTTCTCCCCTCACAGCTCTATTAAGAGCACTTGTTTAAACAGAGCTGTGCTGTGGCTTCCCTGAATCCCTGGCTTCCAGGAGCCCTAGGGCAAAGGCAGCCAAAAATAATGCAGACGCTTGTCTAGAACGGCCCAGCGGTGAGTAATAGTCTGAGGTTTTATTAGTATCCTGCAACGCACAGGGCAGGGCAGGACAGAGCAGAGGCTGGAGCAGTGCAGCCACCTCCCTGCACACCTCACAGGGCTATAGGCCAGGGACCCTCCCCCAGCCTCAGGGAGCCACTGCCAGCCCCCCCCGACAGCCTAGGACTAGGCAACCTGTGGCACACTGGCCTTGGGGAGTGCGAGACGAAAGGGAGGAGCTGTTCCGGGGCTTGGGCAGCTGGAAAATCTCACACTGCTGGGGCTAAAAATAGTCCCTGGAGCTGCAGAGCCGACAGTACCTGGGGTGGCAGCCAAGGACCTGGAGCCATCCCCACCACTCAGCCCCTGGGAAACCCAGTCCCTTCTGGCCCCACAGCAGTTCCCTGGATTTAAAATGCATCACTCCACAGCCTTCCCTGCAGCATCCCCTCGATGGCCTCTCTCCCACGGGCCCACGCATGAGGAAAGACAGGAGGGCAACAGTGCTGAGCCAAGCACAGCCATAGCATAGGGAGTTGCTCCTCACCCTGCTGACCACCCCCATCCCCAGCAAGGCCCCGGTTCCATGGGGGGAACACCAACAGTCTTGTCTCCCATCGCTTCCTGGCCCCATCACCCCAGGCTCTTACCATGGCGATGAAGCGGCCGATGAAGCGGAAGTAGGTGAGGTGGTCGGGGTTGATGGAGGAGGCAGGGTTGATCTGCAGGCAGTAGTTGTTCTTGCCGGCGTACTCAAAGAGGCAGTACATGGGGTTCAGCACCTCATGGGACAGGAGGAAGAACCACTCCCTGGGGCAACAGGAAAGGGAAGCACGGTGAAAAGTGGCTCAAGAAGGGGAGGGGACAGCCACGTGCCTCCACAGCAGACCACATGCAAACCAGGCATCCATGTCCTTGGGGTGCTGGTGCAAGGGCTAGGCCCTGGTGTGACTGGGCAAGGGCGTCCCCCTCCCCAGGGGTGCTGTGGGTGGTTTTGAAGGGATTCTGGAGACAGCAGCAAGAAACACCCTGGGTTGATGGAGGCCCCACTTAGGGCGCGGGGGATCCCAGCAGGCACCTCACAGCTCAGTCCCACCCAGGCTGTCATATCCATACACACATACACATGCATGCAGGATGGGCACCATCCTGATCTTCCCCCCCAGGCTGTGCAGGGAGATGGGAGTCCTTGGACGCAGAGGCAGCCCCGGCATCCCGTCCGTGGTTCTACCCTGTGGTAGAACAGCATGACGTAACCTACCATAGGGTAAAACCACTGGCAGGACACAGAGAGAGGAGGAGAGAAGGAGCCCCTGCACCAGAGCCAGGGGCAGCAGCACCATGGAGGAGGAGAAGGTCAGAGTGGTGTTAGCCCAGCACCAAGGCAGTCACCTTGAGTGAGCCAGCAGGGGCTGGTGGGGACATAGGGCCCTGCTCCAGGCAGGACACAGCCCATGTTGTACAGTAACACCATCCTCAGGGGAGGCTGCAGGCTCAGAGCAACTGCATCCCACCACATCTGCCCTGGCACACACTGACTGCCCTGAGAAAACAAGGGTCTGTTTGCTGCAGGGAGAAGGGGCTGCTCCACCCATTGCCCCCACACCCCAGGGGCTGCAGACAGGCATTGGCACTCAGTGCTGGGGGCTTCAGGGGAGCCCCAGCCAGGCCCCCCAGCCCTCTCTGTGCCAGCCACAGGCTGGCGTGA